GACGATCCAAAGTGGAACTCTAAGTGATTTGCAGCTCAAGGGTGCCAGCACCCGTTTTTATTCTTAATATCTATGTAGCTATCTACCCGTTCCGTATTTTTAACCCCCCCCCCCCCCCCCCCCGTAAAACCGGGCCTAAACTCCGAGAAATGACAAAAAAAATGAATTCCATTATTCCTGATCATGCCTTCATGATATTCGGTTTACTTTTCAACCTTCACATTGATCACATCGGGACTCATATCGGTACCCATCCTCCAGCCCTTACCGTATTTCTGGACAATCGGTACGATGGCAAAGACAGCAGCACAGATAATTGCCTGTGTGCTGAAAGACCAATCAGCACCCACCTTTGTGGACCACTTTGTTTGAAATAGTACCACAGTGAAGCCAAAGAGCACTCGAGTAAAGTTCAGGAGCGCTGATGCAGCGGCTGATTGTTGGGGAAAACAATCAAGAACATAGGCTGAGAAAGTTAGTGAGATTATTGACTAGTAAAAAAAGAGGGATTAGGCCTAGTTACCAGAAATGGTGACAGTAGATGTCATGATTGCAAATATGAAAAGTCCCCAGAAAAACGCAATAAAACCCCAATGCCATAGGCGATCGAGTCCCACACCGAGAAGAATCAAACCAAGGCACATAATGCCAACTGAGAAGTACAATGCCCATAAACGTGATTCCGGTTCAAATATTCCCTTGTTTCTCTTAATGGAACGTAATTGAAGTGCATCGTTGAACTGTGTATCTGTTAAGAATAGATCTTCATGACAAAGGTAATCAATATAAAAGGAAGGACCTACAAAGTGGCCCCAGAGTTCTCCAATAACAACGGCAGTCATAGGTGCGAAATAAATCAAGCCCAATGCGATAGAACCAAATCCATAACCCTTCGGTGAAGCTGGTACAAGGAAAAGAATGAGAGTACCATTGATTCCAACGCTCCACATAAAAGTAATTCCATGGTAGATGACTAGGAAATGTTAGTTCAATTACATCAAAGCCAATGAGTATAAGTGCGTCATTCTGGAACTTACAAAGCATGTAAAACTGAGGTTTCACGAATACCATTACCAACTCCCATGTTCCTTGACACAAACTAGGTCTCCCCTTCATACGATGCCCGGTAATGCCTACAAGCGCGAACAACTTCCGTTTAAAGCGTCCCTCTGCCTGAGGTGGGTTATTCTCGGGGACAACTCGGTCATATGTTGTTTCCTCCATGAGGAAGATGACCAAGAGTAAACCAAACCCTACAATGCCAACAACAATCCAGAAGCTTTCACGCCAATGAAGGTTGTGAAGAATCATGGAGGAGAGAAATGGCCCAAAGTATGGGCCAATGAGAATCGACCATCCCCAAATTCCGATTTTGCGTGCATGCTCTTCGAAGTAAAAACTAATTGATGTTAGACGAGAGCAAAAAGAAAGAGCTTGAGGAGAGAATTAAAATATAAGGTAAAAACATACATGTCCTGAATAACGGTCAAACCAAGCACCTGAGCAGAGGCTGCAAAAAAGCCTTGAAGCACTCGAACGGCAATAAACCCAATCCATGTTGGGCAAGAAGCACATGCAATTGTCATAAAGCATGTCATCAGTGTGCTCCAGAACATGACCGGTAAACTTTATGAGTTACTGTCAGCCTTGTTTTCACAGATCTCGGAAATCCAATTTACTCACGTTCCATAACGCTGGGCAAAAGGAACAGCCACCAAGCTTCCAAAACCCTGCATAAAAGTGTTTCCGGATAGAGAACGTGAAGCATCAACAGAACTAATACCCCATTCTTTACCTTGTGGGATGATCATGGGTACACCATAACCAGCGAGAAAGTCGGTCATGAAGGTCATGTAGCAAATTGCCACGAGAATAAGATGTTTTTTCTTCCAAGACCACTAAAAAAAGATCAATTGTCAATTGATTCTGAGAAGATAATAAATGAAAGCTTTGAATGAGTTCATACCTGAAGGGGATCATGAGGGTCCTTAAACTTTGTAGTTTCAGTGTACTCAGAAGAAGAAGCTGAGACTAGTGTATTTGCATTACGCTCAGGATCGGTGGCTAAGTCGTTTTTTTCTTGCATGGTAGCAGCTATCTTATGATAAACCCTAATTGAGAATTACGAGAAAGATTCTTTTTAGAAGAGGACGAAGAGAGAAGGCGAGTGAGAAGAAAGGGAAGTGGGGGACGAGGCAAGACTTTTATAAAGTGTAAATATGCTATTGAGACTCTCAATGAGGCACTAGTGGTAAAGTATAATTTTCTCTATATCTAAATGCTACATGTATATATGTATGTATGTACGTGCTTGTATATAACACATGCGGTAGAATAAGTACCCCTACCTTACAAAACCTGGGAATTGCCTGCAAAGAGACAGTCCGAGTCGGAGTAGAATTATCCTTATGGGGCATCAGTATAGACCTTGGAGCAAACAGCATCGAAGATCGGACCGTTACTCTCAAACTCAACACTATATCCTTGTCTACCTCGAACCTCTTTATCGAGGTCTGGAATTTATGCTTGATGCGAAAATTGTGCAGATTTCTAGGGATTGTAAGCGATCATATTCTGCAGGGGAACCGGAATTGCGCACAAAGGAATATAGGTACATGTATGTAGCCGGGATATGAACTTGAGATCAAGATAAGAAACCGGGTGGAAAATTGTTGACAGCCCGTCAAAGTTGCGTCTTACATCTTGGCAACACACACACTATTGAGGTTATCCGTGCATACGGGGATATAAGAAGGGTTCCAGAACTGACAGAACCTGGACCCGGGGATTACATCCCGGACAAGCTGTAGATCCGCTAGTGGCTTGTTTCTGTAATTCGTCACTCTCTGGCCTGAGGACCTGTCTGTTTCTTGGTATATTGATGTACTTTGACTTTGCAGGAGACATAGACAGTTTCGAAAAAGACGTCAGACGACGAAGCTCCTGGAAGTGTCTCAGATTTGATAATGAGACTCAGTTCTACGGAGGCTCGAGACTATGCCCTCCTGATATCTAAGTAAATTGACTCGACCACAAGATCAAGAGAGGGTGAAAGTGGGGGATGAAAGTTCATCTTGATTGGTACATGTATGGAGATAAGATTAAGCCTCAGTGGCCAAATAGTTGATATTTAGACTACATATATACCGATTCTCTTTTCAGCAAGCACCTCCCCAGTAAAGCACTATATATACCACCCGTCGTAAACAATTTATATACATGTATGTGCAAATCGATTTATATGACTTCTCTAATTTATATGCAGCTTCATTTGAATGTCGACTGCTGCGCATTTACTTTATGTACGTATGATTTAGCTAGAGGATATAAATTGCAATATAAAGGCTAAATGTATATACAGCCAATTACAGTGCTCTAGACCTCTCAGATTCAATTGTGGCCTTTCATGAACGCACTTTCCACCCTTCCTCTACATCTGCCAGATAAGAACAAATCACATATCTCCATAATCTTCGCCATCAATTGCATGAGATCCCGTCATCAAATTTCAATATACTGACTCGCCTAGCTACTTAGGTTCTTGACAGGGTTTATACCGGCCGGTCACATGTTGATAAGGAAGTTCCCTGCACACGAAATGATCATCAACAGAAACGACAAACATCAAAAGAACAAGTCATTATTCGGAACTCGGCATTTCTCAAGAATGCGTACAACTCTAACCAACTACTTGTCTACAGACAAAACCACTGCTTGCGTGTCTGCACATTCTAGTGCAATCGTACGATCTCATCCCGAAGCCCTTCCACCTATAGACCTAACTGGGCTAGAGGTGTTTAATGGTTCTTCTTCTGAATGGGTCTCCATTTCCGAGTTGCTCTCTAGGCGATGTTACATCAGATCCAAATAATCCGATATCAATCCCAAAAGGGACGATATTCACTCAAGCCGCGCAACCCATTGAACCCAGGACCCTGAAGAGTGGTGGCGGCATATTAAGTACGTGGCATCTTGCTTGAACATATCTGGTAACTCGAATCAGCCCTAACTGCAAACAGGGGCCACGAAAAAGCTTGTTTCGACACTTCGCGTAGCATCAATAATCTAATCTAATCCTGCGGTGAAGTTCCCGGTATCCGCTATCCTTCTCCGATGTCAAATTTCCGGTAGGATGATGCGCCCACCCAGCTTATGTATGTGCCTGTCAGACCGTTGCGATTCCCGAGCTTTCCCTCGGAGTGGTTTACATACCTAGTTATACATATCATGAATAGGCTATTATCACGCAATTCATCGGGCCTAGTGTGTTCGTGCTACTTCCACTCCGAAGCCGAGCCCGGCGTCGCGGGGCATGCCAGTTAATTTGAAACGGGGATCCTAAAGGGGATTAAACTTATCTTTATCAAAACGACGGGTCCGTCCTATCCGAGGCTTAAGGCGTTCCTAAAACATCTCCTCCCTTTTTAATTAGGTTAGCCGGTGAAGTTTGCCGCCGCGTGTTTCCAGCCCATCCCCATTTCTATCACTACAGTAATCCTGATAAATGTTACAAATCTGGAATTATTGAGCTATGGAGATAGACTTAACCTGATAGCCCACAGGTTGGGTAAACAGGGCCATATCTATGGCGACGAATTGGCTTATTTCAACTAATATCATAGGTTAGAACAATTTATAGAGGGATGAAGGCATGAAACATTCATGCTCGGCAACGTCCGAGAGTGGTTTGGTCTACCAGAGTTATTTCTACGGCTTTATGGGTACATGGCCACTCACGATTTCGATATATATATTTTTCAAACCAGAAGTAGTAGTAGATCTAGCAGGCTGCTACTACTATGTAATCTTAACGTTTCCAGACCTTACATGTCTGGGGGGGGGGGGGGGGGGGGAGGAGTTATTAACGTATCATACCAGCTGAAGAGCTTTATCTCTCCCGCTGATCGAAACCAATCCTAGAAAACAGAAGGCAACAAACACCCCCTGATCAATACTTTCAGAAACCTGTCATGGGGACAAGCAAAAAATTTTAATTTAGTAACCCCACGCGGGGGTCGAACCCGCAACCTTCAGATTTCATATCAGGAGAATATAATAGAAGTCTGACGCGCTACCATTGCGCCAGCAGGGCTGCTGACTGTTGCTAGAAATTATTTTCTGAAAATTGAATTTACGCATGTATTCTTCTATCTGGGGCATCGAAGTGTCTAGGCTTTCAAAAGTACGTCATGTATTGCTGACGTACCGGTTGCTACTACGATACCATTAGTCAATTTCAATTGCAACTACTGGAAGCAAGTAGCAATACTCTAGAGGGTACTCCCTATAAATATATGCCATTACATATAATTCTTCACTTATATGGCACTGAACGAGATCTAGAAGTAGAGCAACTTGGAGATTCGGCTACATCCCATACAAATATGTGGTCTTGGCGCATTTTCTGTAACTCAACGTACCAAAACCAACACAAGTCATGCTAGAAATGTAATATTGTAATTTTCAGCTGATAGAACTATTATCCATATAAAAATATATAGTTGTCCAATTCTCAGGTAATATTCATCATACTTTGTAGTTGAGGACCGGGTTGAAAAGTGGCATTTTTGATGGGTGTTGCAACGTTGTTTGGTTGCCGGTCAATGACTTGAGAGGGTGCTGTACAATGGTAGACTTTCCGACTGCTATGGTGCCCCCGACTTAAAGGTAGCTAAAAATGACAAAAGTTCAATTACTAATATAATAACCTTACCATCAAAAGAAACATAAAAGAAATCGGTACAAAAGAAAAAGTGTAGTAGTACAAGTAGTGATGAGGTTTACTTTTACCGTACATGTTTTTGATATCCATCCTCGTTGTGAAGTACATGCATGTATTATACTCATTTGTGCCCCCTTCAAAAGCGAATTTCGACAGGAACGCAGCAAAATGGCTAGAGATAGGCCCTCTTCTTGGCCTGGAAGTCATCTTGCAGCCGCGATATATTTCTACTCTCAAATACTGCCGTGTCACCTTTAAGAGTGTACGCACCATTCTTTAAATCATCATTCCTGTCATATTAGAAGACGGGGCAAATATATATTGGGTTTCTTGTATGGATTTAGCTCTCCGGTTGGGCTGCCGGGTGACCAGATTAATCTTTTTGGAGACACTCAGGGGCACTGCACTGTTAGCCAGTCCCAAAGGTTATAAATAAAAGGACATTGGGAGAACTTATGAGAGACAGCATTTAGCGGGGTTCGGGGGTCGATGCCTAGGTGTGTTACGTGCAGATAAAGACAAACATGACATGTCAATACAATCAGATGAGACTACATTAATAGGCGGGGAGGGTGAACGCATATTAGTTCATAGTGTTTAGCAGGGCTATATGACATTATCTGTGCTAGTAACCGTACTTAGCATGTGCCTCATTGTCATTTATGTAGCTGATAGCAGATTTCCCTCCTATACCCTCATTACCTAAGTACTTATGTATTCAGTTTACTATCATTTCGTTCTCTCACCTTCCAAGCTCCTTCCACCCCGATCCCGAGCAGAGTAATGATCATGAGGTTCAATAAGATCTAACTACTCCAATTCGTCGAACCGAATCAGCGTGTAAAGCCCAATCGTTCTCCCATTCTTGCAATATTGAAACATCAATATGTGCTCTCCTATTACCAGACTGCACAAGGTTAATTACACTATCCGGCAACACAGCGCCAGCCGCTCTGACAGAAGAAAATATAACGGAATTAAACCAAAGAAAACCGGTTTAAGCATAAGATATCACTCGTCACACCATCTCACGTGACTCAGGCCTACCACGAAAAAAAAAAGTCTTTCCGCCGGTAACCGAAAAAAAAATCTGCCAGTGATCAAGAACACCACAAAAGCAAAAAGAAATGGTATGCTTTCATATGAAAGCCCCACGCGGGGGTCGAACCCGCAACCTTGAGATTCCGCTTAAGAGTCTCACGCTCTACCGATTGAGCTAGCGAGGCATATATTCCTGTCCCGCTTTTGCCCTAACGGCAGGCAAATCATTTTGTATCTAGACTACAACTTCAATTGTAAACAGCAATGATGTATGATCCTGTCCAACGCTAACGTACACAACAATGAAGTACAAACGTGACAATAAACAAACTCCCAGTAGAATATAATACAGGCTAAAAGTGATAATCAAATAAACAAACGCCACACAAATATGTCAACTCCCCTAAATGACAAGAAACGAAAAAGAGAACAAAAAAAGTGAAGGGAGAAAGAAACACAAAACGAACTCTACACCGAGCGTACCCTACATTGCTCTGGTACGGATTGATTCATCGAGCAACTCCGCCAAGTCTAAGGAAATATCCTTATTTCCATCCTCTCTTCTTCCTCACGACCATGCCCCTCACGCATCCACTTCTGCCCTCTTTTCTTCCGGCCTCCACAACGCAAAAGCGAATAAAGTCTCTACTCTCCCAGTAAGAACTATGGGCGCCTAGCATATTTAGATATTGATTCTCCAAGGCCCCCGAGCTTTGCAAAAAGTAATCAATCTGTCCGTTGTCATTCAATAAATACAACCTCTTTTCAGCGAGCTCTTCGCGCGAAAAGTCGTGTGTTTCGAGCTCTATAGTTGATGGTAGACGCGAGAATAGGGTATTAGGCACGTTTGCCGACGATGGATAGACGGTTCGGATAAGAGTATCGAGGAAGGTTGTGGCAGTGCTAGGAACGTGTGCAGTACGCAAAGAGGCTGCATACGATGCGTCGACAGTAGGGTTTAGACGATACGCGATAGGATCTGAGTAATGAAGGACGTTATAGATGTTGTCGGCGGCCATACAGCCGTAGGTTCCCGATAAACCGGTGACATGTGGATCAGTGTCGGACGAGTCGCAATCCTTCTTGTCCCTTCCACGCCGAGGCAGCAAGGTTCGCTTATTGAGTAGTAAGAAAAATGCAGCCGGAGATCCAACAAAAAAGACGTTTTTAGTATCAAAATCAAACTGGGTATCTCTTGTTTCCCTCTTCATATCTTGGGGGACATGGGTAGGCTGATTAGAGAGGATATCCATTGCAATTGCCGTTCCAAGTGAGTGTGCTATAATATGAACTCGACCGCCATTCTTTTCAAAATCTGGATTGTTTTGGCGCCATAGACCATACACTCGGTTTGCCTCCTTCACAACCGCGCCAATCATTTTTTGTTTATGGTGGGAGAGGTAGTAAGGGATGTCGAGCATAACATCACCAATCAAGTTACGCACAGCTTGGATTGACGGGGGAGTAATATCTTCGAGAGAGAAATCGTTTTCGCTGTTGTTGGAATGTCCGTTGGAGAGACCTTCTTCATCGAATGAGAGATTGTGACGCCAGTTTATCTGTACACCTTTAGTGTGAAGACAGCAACAGGGTAGTCATTTGAGCTTACAGGTAGCACCATCATTCCGACATTTCCGCCATCCCGAAGCAGTGGTCTCACAGCTGGATCTCTAAGTTCCACGTTTATATGTCGTCTAAAAGAATTGATCGCATGCGTGAAATGAAAACTCTCTACCCTTTCACTCAGTTTCTGTCCAATCCCATGAATCACCAAAAATAGATCCGTGACTTCTATCCTTTCTTCATCATCGGGTCCTAGGCCCTCTGATGACAACGTCTCAAAATCTTCTTTTGGTGCCTCTGCACTACCGGTCGTGCTTCGTCTTTTTTCTCTTTCCCGTGCTTCTGTGGGAGTACTAACGCCGGAGGTAGATGTTGATCTCGTCTTTCTAGCTGCGGTGCCAGATGCCGCAACCTTCTTTTTCTTGCTGGATGGGTTAAGGCGTTCCCACACGTCTAGCTGAAATCCGCGGACTACATGTGTTCCGACAACTTTCCCCTTCCTGATATTCGCTAGTGGTCTTTTATTTCCGAAACTCAACATAGTATCACGGCAGATATATGCATCAACCGCATTGGCAAATAGGACCCAATCGGCTTCATTTACCGTCGTTTGGCCCGGTGTTACGCTACCGGCCACGCCTGACTTCAGATTTGCAGAGCTAATCGGGTGCTCTGTCTCGAAACTGGTCATTCCCCCTTCCTGGTTCCCTTCACCGAGTGAAGTTCCCGGGCGTGTTGGCGGGGCAGAAGCAGTACTCTTGTCAAACAATTGCCACCTTACTTTCTCCTCGCCCTCGCGGCCAACCTCAACAGCACTCGAGAGCTCCATTTCCCATTCTTCTGTCCATGCCCTGACCTCCTCCCACCCAGCCTCAAGCCGGTTTGCAATGTTAGCCTCAACCGGAAGCATTGTATCTTTATAGAACCAAGTTCCCCGCATAACCGAAGCCACATCCTGTAACGGGCTCCAGTATATCGGTGTCATAATAAAGCTCGGGAGTAAGACCTGATGGAGCCTTTGCAGCCCAACGGGTATCTCTGTCTGTATTGGCGGTGTCGGTGGCGGTGAAGCTTTCTTCATACTAGATCTCCGCGACGTCGAGGAAGACCTGCTCGCCGTGCTTGGCATAGTCATTGCCCTTGACTGCGTTAACGAGCGAATAAACGGAGTTCTCGTGGTACCGCTCCTTGTATTCGGGGAAGTACCCAGCCCACCATAACTGGGACTTGTTCCCAGCCCTGTACTCACCGGCGAGCTAGAGCTCGGCGACCGAGAATACAGATGCCGTAGGGGGGATGGTGACCCCTTGCGCAACGATTTCTCCTCCAAACCATTCTCACGGCCAGTGCCGATCTCGTCCGTAATCTCAATAGCTACCTCGCTAGACTCCCCCTCCTTGAACTGCAGATGGCCCTCCTTCGCGACTTCCCGTATCGTAGCTGTACTGGTGCTTGTCTCATTGGATGCCCTTCTCCCGATAGCTTTCGGCGATGTTCCACGGAAGACTGACGACAGTGCTGCCGCCGCCCTGCCTCGTTCTGCTTCTCGGGCGCGTTGTGTCTGAAGGTGGTCTTGATACGCGGCTTCGAGGGCGAGAGAGTCGTAGCGTGCAAAGGGACGTGGTGGATATTTCGTCTGAGCTGTGGCGGCGGTGGGAATCGGAAACGGCGCAAGGGGATCGTCGAGAGGGAACGGGGATGAGTAGAACCAGTACGGATTGATTGGCGGAGGCGGAGAGAGTGAGACGCCGCGAGTAGCCATGTTT